AATTTAAATTTTTATAATTAATTAGATATGTAATTTAAATAATATATTTTACTTTTTAAATAAAATTTAACAAATTTAATAATATTACATACAAATATATTAATAAATTAATTTTGAAAAACAATGTTTTTTATAATAATTTATACAGTTAAAATTGATTGACTAAATCATCCAAACACCTTCAATTATGTTAAAATCAGTTTTAAAAAAACAATATCCAAACAGATTACGTTATAACTTAATTAATTATGATTAAAATCAACCATTTAGTCAATTACTTTCATAATCAATTATATCTAATTGAAATTCAAACAGGCACATTATCTCCTTGAGATACTGAGGATGAAAGATAGACCTTTCGTAACTAAGTTGTTACATACAATATGACTTTGATTCAAACTTCTAACTACTTAAATAAGTGATGAAAGCCCTTAACATTTGTGTCAACTATAGTTGGTGGCCTTCACTACAAGTTGAACAAAAGGCTTAGAGATTTTAGCTTAAGTGGGGACAATGCAAGATTGGCAACAATAGCAGGCTACAATAATGCCAAGCAAAGCACCACCAAAAACTTGAGATGGTGTGTGACCTAAAAATTCCTTGAGCTTCCTTTCACTGATGGGATGCCCTTGGAACAAGTCTGCAACAATCAGATTAAGCACCTGCATCAAGCCAAAACAAAAAATGCCCTTCAGCATAACCTTTTCTCAGAAACAAATATTGGTCAAGTCTTCGAGCCAAGGTAACTACGGAGGCATATATAAACATGTCAGAACTCACAAGTAATTCTGACTGAAATATGTCATTATGCTTATGAATATATAAATAAGCAGTTTGGCTTACCATTTTCTTTGTGTGAACTGAGTCCAAGATTTTTCGGGGATTAACAGAGAATACAGCATAAATCTTGTGCATCCAAAAATGATAGCAATTGAAAGTAGATAAATCTAGATAGTATCGAATACTTAGGTCTCATATTGAATATAACATACTGCTCAATAGAATATTTATTTAGGACAATGCTCTAAAATCAATAGCTATAAATAAGATTTTCCATCCTGCTTAAGTGCCTAACATATCATTTAGTATTAGAACTAGTTGATGACGACAACGGAAAGGGCTATTTGCAAAGGGTAAAGCCATATAAAGCATCACAAATGTAGTTATCAGCATATTGATTTTTCAATGGCAACCAATTGATAGGAATCAACATGGTATGAGATGCTCAAATATTATATTGAGTAGTTTAGGTTAATCTATGGAGTATTTACATAAAGTAATTCTTTCATCTGAATATCAAGGTTCAAGAGACAGTACTCAGTCTCACCACCAGCTTATACACTCATCAAAAAGATCCTGCTGACCCTGGGGACACTGGTAATCAAATCCAGAAGCACGCTGATTCAAGAATGTAGGCAGCGACTTTTTTGGACTACTAATAAACAATGATCATAGTAATTTTTTTTACACAGATATAATTCTATGAGAACTGTATAGCCCAATAAATCTCAATATAAAATATAAAAAAGTGAAAGCAGCTACAATGTTCACAACTCAAGCCCTCTGCATCCACATATAGGGTGAAAATGGGAGCCCCCAAAAGCAGATAGCAAGGATCACAGTAATTTAAATGTTCTGAATACAGAGATATGAGAAAATGATGAAACATGCAAATATGCTATTATAGAAATACCAATACCACAATATAACCAATTATCAATCAAAACTATAAATGTAAAACCTCTTATTTTGATTAAGCTTCTGACAGACATATACACATCTCAAATATATATATTTGGCGGTCACTCTCAGACGCATTGATATCTTCCCCCTCTTTCCCTATTCCGTCAGGCCAGTGGAAAGCAGTGCAATATTGTGTTCAATAAAAATCACCAAGAGGAACTATATGGTTAGGGACTTAAAACAGTGCGGAAAACCTGAAAGTAAACAAGAGTCATGACATCTCAAAATCACATCGATTATATTGAACTCCACTCCACAATGTCCCTGGACATTTCTTTGGCAGCCAACCTATATAAATAGCATTCACAAACTAATCTAACAATAAATCAAGTGTACGATATATTAAACAAAACAGACGCTAGCAAATGATCAACCACATCACTACATTGACTCGTCCACTGAAAATCAGTTTCAAATCTTAAGAGCAGCATCAAAGCAGCTATCACTACTAGAACCATAAGCCTCATGCCAACTTCTTTCTCTCATGCCTTATCCAGCATGCAGGAATTGGCACTCAGTCCATCTTGGCTTGAACCTTCAAGCATAATTTTCCCTGCTTTCAAAGAACTTTTCTTTCCTCTAATTCAAATTTCTTTCTTTTCTTCCATTTAGTTACACACAGTATTTCCTGCTGTTTCTCCTCTTTCAAGGGCCTTTAGGATAGCTTCCATTTCAAATGACTCAATAAGATCTAAACTAACATCCTGTGATAAAACACTAAGAGTACAATGCTCCCAGTGTAAAAAGAAGTAAATGCCCCAATTGATCGAGGTGGAATTTAATAATTGAAGAACATAAAGATAGCCAACAAAAGAAAGCTTTATCAACATAAGGTCATGAATAATGTCCTTAGCGTTTAAACTCATACAAATTATAGGCACACTTAATCATTATTCAAGCTGCTCTATTAGTTGACCTGCAGTTATCTTTGTGCATCTCTGTTGGCTTATTCCTAACAATTTGAAGGTAGAATAACCCAGGATTTTTCTTGAAGTGCACTTATAGAAAGTTAGAAGCTTGGTTTATTGCATACAAGAGATAAGTTCTTATTGTCCTAAGAGACTCAGGTACATGGACATAACAAATAGCGCCAACCTATCCAATAGAACTTCAGTTGGCTAAGCATTGAACTAGATGGGCACAACAAAGATCTTCACTGGATTCAATCTTTAAGACTAATATAGAACCACATTCTAAAGCGATTGAGATACTTAATTAGGTGATGTTCATGACTTAACTGTTGCAAAACTTGTTAAATTTGATGTGGTGGTGTGAAGACTTTCATGTTTCAATACAAACACATCCTATATCAAGAAGATGATATCCTTGTCCATACAAAGAGAGTCTCATATTATAAGCCACAACTCTGAAAACAATAGGCATTATAAAAGTAAAATACACTAAGCTAAAGTGCTAGACAAACAGGAGACAAATTTAGGGATTCAGAGTTAGACATTTGACCAAGTTAAAAAACACCAACGCAGACAAACAGAAGACAGATTTAAGAAGCACAAAAGAATAGTAGTAGATAGACCATGCAATCAAAATCCCTTGCACTCAACAGTCCCCTATTACACCAAGCACTAATCAGAATGTGCTGCAATGATTAAGTGACGCAACCTATGAAGCCCTGCTACTTCCAGGAGTCATATCAGTCCGACGCTTCAAATTTCTCCAAAATACTACATACACATATTTCAGTATCCTTGCTTCTAAGGATGCAATAAAAAGGACAACTTCAACAGGTTCTTGAGTGGAATCATTAACAAATTATAAGCTGTAAGATAGACATAAATTTCACATAAAGAAGCAAAAACCAATTATTTACCTCAGCTTGCATGCCAGCATGTCGCCGAACACCAATTGCATCATACATAACAATAAGACTAAACCCCAAGCACACAGGAAATAACGAATCAGCCACGCCATGGCAAAGCGCTACAGAAGTAGTCAAAGCAGTGCACAATGCCGAATGCGACGATGGCATCCCCCCTGAAGCAAACAATAGTCTAAAATCCCATTTCCGTTCAACGAAGAAGTTCAGAAATACCTTTAACGATTGTGCTATAATCCACGCAAACAAGCCCGAAACAAATGTTGGGTTTGCTGCTAAGGTAGCAAAAAATGGGCTAAACCGAAGCTTCGCGTTCGTAGTAATGCTCAATAAAGCAACTCCTAACCCTCCGTTCTGTAAATAACACCCATTACACTCGTCTACAACCTTCTGGGTACTGCCATAAACTCTCAAACTCGAAACCCATTTCTGGGTTTGCGAAGAAGCCAACTTTTTTATGGTTTTCAGAAGGCAGAAGGAAACCCGCACGGGATGCCCTGCTAGGAGGTTGTGACTAACACTTCTATGATAAGAGTTCTCCGGGAGGTTCGGAGGAGCTGTCCAAGAAGAAGGAATCAATAACGATGCTCTGTGATGCTTTAAGCGCGAGAACTGAAAAAAGGATACGTTAGTCGCACAGAGAGGCTTCCTGTTATAGCAGTATAATCTAAATTTTGGTGCTACAAAAGAAACAGAGTCCATGGAAAGGGTTTTTGGTTCCTGAGATCAGTCAGCATTTCAAAAGGAATACGGGGCAGCTCTGCGTTCGCTGCAAGAGAACTCTGGACTCAGGAGATTCGATGAGGCTGCCTTTTTATACAAAGATAAGAACGTAGGGCAGAGAAAACAAAGAAACCCACACACCTTGCCACGTTTTGACGTAATCTGCCAGCCAGGGCCCATTCTAGGAACGGAACATCCTATCTCGCCTTCTCCTTTACTACATGCACATCTGAAACTGGAATTTTGGGTGTGTCTTACACCGTTAGATTAAAGTTAAATATTACAGTTATTAGTAAAATAAATGTTTTTAAAAATAATAAAACTTTGTAAAACACACACTCAATGACGAGAATTATCTATCAAATTTTACTACTACTTATAAGTTACTTACTAACCTAACCTTATACCCAAAAAAAAAAAAAACCAAGACAATTTATCTTTAATAACTTTATTTAAGCTATAAATAATTATATATTTATCAATTTCACTGATTAATACATAATTTTTTTTAATAATAAACATGTATGTAATTTTACAATTTTTCTCATAACTTTACAATTAAAAAATACATGCACCCAAGTCTAATATTTTATCTTATTGAAAAATTGCCAAGTCATCAGTACCTTCTAGACTTGTGCATATGATGCGAGGGCAATCTAGCCAATTAACAATAACAGAATAGATGAAGAAATTTCAAACTAACATTTGGAAGGTTTCCGTAGTTTGTGAGTGACATCGTCTCGCTTCTGTTTCCATTCCCGCTTTCTTCATCTTCGCCGATAACCTCCCCCCTTGTATCTCGCTCGACAATGGAGAATTTGATTCAGCTTGTCAACAAAATACAAAGGGCGTGTACCGCCCTAGGCGATCATGGCGAAGAGAGCGCAATGCCCACCCTCTGGGACGCGCTACCGTCGATCGCGGTCGTCGGAGGACAGGTTCCATTTTCTTGCTTCTTTTTCAGTCCTTATTTTTTATTTTATATTTTTATTGCATTTTGATCCATTGATGCAATGTATCAGGATCCTTTTTTTTTTCCATTCATGTGAAACACTGTCTATCTGATCTAGAAGTTTTCCTGCCTTTTTTTTCCTCTTTTGTTTACGTTATCATTCTACTAGCTTCTACTTTAATAATTATAATCTTTGCATTCTACTGTGGACAAAAAAAGGAATTGAACTTCTCTTCATTTTGTTTAACTCTGCTGGGAGTTTTCTAAAATCCATTTATTTCTTGTGTGCTAATCTATCTGATAAGTTTATATATTCGTTGGGTCACTTGAAAGGTCCACTGAACCTCAAAATGTTGTATTTCCACTCCTGCCGTCTCCTTTGTGGCCGTCTTCAACACTATGAAGCGTGGATTGTTCAGGAGGAAAAAGTCCCGTAGCATGTGTATTTGAAAACAACGGTTATCAATGATCGGTTTCCGCTATCTTTGATCTTTGAGCTACATTTATTACAGAATTTGATAACACAGTGACTTCAATGGTTTTCTTGACTGTTATGGCCTGTGACTTCCAGTTTTTAGTGCACAAAATTTTGATGGAAAAAAACCTCACATTGATTGACTGTCCTTTTGATTAAATAGTCGGAAACTAAATGCTCCAATTATTCATGCATATTCTGATTGACACTTATATTGCACAGGCTGTTGTTTCTCTTGCTAATATTTAATTCAATATGTGTCTTTGCCAAAAGAAATTCAATCTGTCAAAAAAAAAAAAAAAAAGTTCTTAGCTAGGAATTTTTCAAAAGACCAACAGCATTTTTAATTATTCAATATTTCCAATGCTTCCATGGTTCCATAGAGTCATTCTTGTCTTCATAAATATTTACAAACTTTTAATTATTCAATATTTCCTAGAGCTCTGGAAAGTCTTCGGTGTTGGAGAGTATTGTGGGAAAAGACTTCTTACCACGTGGATCTGGTAATTCTGGCGATCTATAGTTAGTTACGTACTACGTTATGATAGTTTCCCTCTTTCTCTTTCTCTTCTTCACTTGATTATCTGGACAATTGAACCAATTTTTTATTTGCAGGTATTGTTACTCGGCGTCCTCTTGTTTTACAACTTCATAAGATTGAAGAAGGAAGAGAATATGCTGAATTTATGCACCTTCCGAGGAAGAAGTTCACTGATTTTGGTATTCTGCTGTAGAAAATTTTTTCTTTTTCACACATTACTGCTTCATTCTTAATATCACGATTACAATTAGCCTTTTGACAGGCAAATTTCATTTTGCATTTTTCACATTACTGTTAGTGTTACTTATTATGATTTTTAGAATTATGGGTTAACAAGTTAATTCCCTAGTGATCTTTTTATCGCTGCGTCCCCATAGAGATTAATTTTGTCTGTTCTCTAGCTGCTGTTAGGCAGGAGATCTCTGATGAGACTGATAGAGAGACGGGCCGGAGCAAGTCTATTTCTTCTGTTCCAATCCATTTGAGTATCTACTCCCCTCATGGTGAGAAAGATGCCAACTAGTATTTCCTATCATCAAGTTAGTATATGAATGGTCATGCGTAATCAAAGTGGTAAGGTGGAACGGAGTGGGTAGTGACCAGGTTAAAAAGATGAAGAACTATTCTTTTGGCATGCCATGTGCTATTATTCATCAAAATCAGGCTTCTTATTCTCTACATTCTTTTTTTAATTTTTCTTTCTTGTTGAGCAAAACATACAGTGACAATATCTTGTACATTAGATGTCTATGGATCCAATGACATTATTTTCTTTCTTTCTTTCTCTTTTTTTTTTCAAGGCCATCATAGTGCATAAGTTTAATCTGTGTTGCTGAGCCCAGTATGGACAATTATATTTTTCTCATTAATATAAATATCGACAAGTATCATTCTATAAATATACAATTGATTAGGAAGTCATATTTTCTGTTAGTATCTTCATTATTAGGAACTGTCCCAATTTTATCGCACGTGTAGTTGATACTGCTTTTATTTTATTTTGATTTTTTATGCATCCATTTCATCTATTGAACTTGTTGACCTTTGCAGTTGTCAATTTGACCCTAGTTGATCTTCCAGGACTCACAAAAGTTGCTGTGGGTGAGTTTCTAAGACTATGAGGGTACCAGTTAAACATAAATTGAATTTTTGAGCAGGTTGTATTATAAATGCACAAATTAATGGCATTTTGTTGGCTGTGTATTGTAGAGGGTCAACCGGAAAGCATTGTACAGGACATCGAAAACATGGTTCGTTCATATATTGAGAAGGTAGTTATTCTTATACTTTTGAAGTACATGCATAAAAAGACTTTGACACATGAGGTAACCATTTTTTTTTTTTCGTGAGGCAAAATATTTTGCCACATTGTAATCGCTATATCAAGATAAATGTAAGAGATAAAAGCATGAACTGCAAATTCATGAAGCCCTATGTTAAAATTTGAGCTGTTCATCCGAATGAAGTCTCTGTAATGAACTCCTTACACTGATAAATGATCACGTAAGAGATGGTTCCATGCACATAGTTGTATGCACGTCTGTGGGGCAAGACAAATTGTCTGAGCATGTCAGTTTGATGCTGCATTCTGTCTCCTTTTGGCAATTGTTATGATGATTTGAAAAATAATTGGCAGTAGATGGACTTATACGATGACATTAAAATCTGTTTCTTGCAGCCCAACTGTATCGTTTTGGCAATATCCCCTGCTAATCAAGATCTTGCTACCTCAGATGCAATTAAGATTTCTCGTGAAGTAGACCCTAAAGGTGAGATGCCAAACAAATTTGTATTATGTAGTCCTGTAAATCAGGCATGGAGATGGGGGGACCAGCAGTGGCTTCAATTCCCCAACTTTTTTAATTTTTTTTAATAAAATGTAAATATTTTATATTTCTGTCCTCTAAGTTGGCACATTATAAAGCTTTTAGATACTAGATAAAATTATCATTTTAATTCTATAATGATCTTTTACTCATATATAGTCCAACTATTTTAGTCGTTTAAAAATATTGTTGCCATATGATTTACTTATTTTCAATAAGATATTGTTATGGTTGCTCTTAAAATATTGGTATTATTTGATTTTACTTTTATTTTATATTCAATGAGAGAAATTATGAGAATTATTACTAAAAATAATTTGTCAAGTACTACAACAAAAATTCCAAAATATATTGAGTGCTATATGCTTGACATCTACTATAAAATTACTTATCCAAAAGTTAAGAGGTTATAATTAAGATATGTTCTTCTAGAAAAAAATTACTTTTTTTAATAATAACCAAGTTATTGAAATTTATAATATACTTATATCTCATTGATATAAAGAATTTGTGACAACTAAGCATCATTGCTGTGTTGATATATTTATTTACTATAATTATCAATTAAAAGAATTAAATAGTAAATTTAGAAAGTAAGCAATAGAATCTTTTAAATTGAACAAAACTTTGGATCTAAAGGATACGTTTAAATTATTTAATGCTCATGGGAAGATGAAATCTTCACCAATTTAATAATAATTTATGTTGAAAAGAAAATTGCTAAAAGTTTCATCGCATGCATGATAATTACTTATTTTTATGCCATAAAAATTGATGAGCAAAACTAAAAAAATGAAAGTATATATTTATTTTTGTCATATATATGTAAAATTGAATATAAATAAATATATGTATATATATTGAAATATTTATGTTATATTAGTGATATATATATATATACTTTCTTTTAATTATCATATATGCTTTGTCATCTTGGCCCCTCCTAATAAAATTTTTTGGCTTCGCCCCTGTTGTGAATCAGTATATGTGTTTAATGTTTTGACTTTTGTGCTTCTAAGCTTTCTTGATTTTGTTAATGCTATATCACTTTTCTTTGACCTTCATAGGAGTAGATAGATGACTTAAGACATGTTATATGAGCTTTAGACAACTAATGTGGCTGAAAATGGCCGGTTTCTGGATATTTTCCTTCCTATGTTAAGTCATCATGCTTATTTCAGGGGAAAGGACATTTGGAGTTTTAACAAAGATCGATCTCATGGACAAGGGTACTGACGCCGTTGATGTAAGTATTTGGTCCTTTTCAATACAGAACTGGCAGGCTACTAAAAGGATTGGCTTTACCCAACTGTCGCTTGGTGCCTGCTGGCAAATTTTGTTTGCATGGGAAAAATTAAGAAAAATGACGATAAAATCCTTCTGAAATAAATGTTATAATTTCCCTAAAGTTTTTTGAAACTTTTCTATCGTTAATGAATTTATTTAAATGACCAAATTATCCTTATTAAAAATAAATAATTCACAAGTTTTGTTTAAATATTCATAACTTTCCTTCTTATATTCGTAACAGTGCAATAGCAAATCAAAACTTTACATGTTAAATTCTTTATTTTTTGTTGTATTGTTGCGAATATAAAAAAGAAAGTTATAAATATTTAAACAAAACTTGTGAATCATTTATTTTCAACAAAGATAATTTGGTAATTTACATAAATTCATTAATGATAAAAAAGTCTCTAGGAACTTCAGGAGAATTATAACATTTCGAGGGATTAAATTATCATTTATATATTTGGGAGGGATTTTACTGTCATTTTCTCAAAAATTAAATTGTAATTGATGTCTATGGATCATGCTTCATCTAAAGAAGATGACGTGCGTTTCCTGTCATTTGGTATTTAAATGTCACATGTATAACGATCACTTGTTGATTTACAAATCATTTTCCCCTTATATTGGATATATACTCGAGATTGGAGGGTGGAGATTATTATATTTTTCTACCATTCAGTAAAATTGTTCCGGCTTATGTGTGCCTTCGCATGTGTTAACGTGAATATTACAAGCCCTTGGATCACATAATTAACCATTTCCTTGTAGTTCAGATTTCATTGGGTTTTCTTTGTTTTGACAGTATACTCGTTTCTTGAAAAGTCAAAGCGGTCAAGTTATTCCTCTAACGTTTTTTTCTCTCCGCCATCCCCTTTCTTAGATCCTTGAAGGAAGATCATATAAGCTAAATTTCCCTTGGATTGGTGTTGTTAATCGTTCCCAAGCTGATATCAACAAAAACGTCGATATGATTGCTGCACGGCGCAGAGAGAATGAGTATTTTGCTAACACTCCTGAATATAGACATCTTGCTAGCAGAATGGGTTCTGTCCATCTAGGAAAGGTGCTATCTAAGGTATTCTGAAGTGTTATCCTAATCTTGATTTTCTAAATGGCAATGCGTTTATAATCTATTTGGAGGCACGAGTTAACTTTTATATCTGCTATGTCAATAAAATTTTCAGCATTTAGAAACTGTCATCAAGTCTCGCATCCCGGGTCTTCAGTCTCTTATAAGTAAAACTATTTGTGACCTAGAGGCAGAAGTAAACCGTCTTGGAAGGCCTATGGCTACTGATACGGGAGTAAGCGCCCTGCCCTTGGCTTTCCCTAAGCAATTTTTTAATCACGTACTTGCTTGGTTGTTGAAGATAGTTCATAAATAGCCTCTATCTTTTTCAAGTTGGTAGCTTTTTTTCTACATGAAATCTAATGGAAGTTCATGAAGAATTTGTGATTCAATTTGTTTTCTCCTTTCGCAGGGAAAATTGTACATGGCAATGGAAATCTGTCGAAACTTTGATCAGATATATAAAGATCATCTTGATGGCGTGTATGTCCTTTTTCCCTCTTAGTTACACACTGCAAGAATGTATAATTGTTTAATCTCAGATTGATTCAACTTGACCTTGGATTTAATGATCCAATGTTTATTGTTTAAAGGCGGCCAGGTGGTGAGAAAATTTACCAAGTATTTGATTCTCAGTTCCCTGCGGCTATGAAAAGGCTGCAATTTGACAAACATCTCTCAATTGACAATGTGAGAAAACTAATAACTGAAGCGGATGGATATCAACCTCATCTAATTGCTCCTGAGCAAGGATATCGCCGTCTTATAGAATCTTGCTTGGTAGCTATCCGTGGTCCAGCTGAAGCAGCTGTTGATGCGGTATATATAATTTATACTAAAGAATTAGTCTCTTCTAATACTTTTCCTGTATTAGAAACTTTAACTGACTTCTTCCTCCTTGTTATTTACTTAGATTGTTTTGTTATTGATGTTAATGATACTCTATCGAAGTCAATATCATGTATATACTTTCACAAATCATTGTTTTCATACATCTAGGCACTATTTTTGTGACTTCTAGTCTACGCCTTCTTTTCTTCTGCAAATCCTCTCCATCTACTTCCCTTTAACAAAAATTCCCATCTTGGTTTCTTATTTTGCAATTAACCTGCTCAATGTTTTATATGGAAAATAGCCCTTCGATCCAAAATATCACAAATTTGCAAAACTAAAAATGCAATTTTCCTAAGGCCCACGAAAAAAATGGAATTATCATATCCACTTGATGGCTTACTTTTATAATCTTTCAGGTTCATGCAATTTTGAAGGATCTGATTCACAAGTCAATTAGCGAGACAGTGGCAAGTAGCAAGCAATATGTTTTTCTTTTGTATATATAGTTCTTAAGCTTTGAGACGCTTTAGCAAATAAGCAGTCACCAAAGCAAGACGTTCTCATTTACGAGTCTATCTTAACTAACGAGCTTTTCTGTTACTTGTAGGAATTAAAACAATATCCCACCTTGAGAACAGAACTTGGAAGTGCAGCTGTCGAATCATTGGAGAGGATGAGAGAAGAAAGTAAGAAAGCAACTCTGCTGTTGGTTGACATGGAGTGTGGTTACCTCACTGTTGAATTTTTCCGCAAACTTCCACAAGATGCTGAGAAGGGTGGAAATCCAACTGTCTCACTTTTTGACAGATATAATGATAATTATCTTCGTCGAATTGGTAAGTAAGTGGAAATGAAGATTGTGGGAGACATTTTTTTTTTTAATCTTAGAATCGGAAGAATCTGATAATCATGCAGCATGCCTTTGCGTTAATCAAATTGGAGTTTTTTCTTTTCCTGAGTTGTTCTTACCATGAGATCCCTTGAACATACCAGCTACCACTGTCTTGTCCTATGTGAACATGGTATGCGCGACCCTCAGGAACACTATTCCCAAGTCTGTAGTTTATTGCCAAGTGCGTGAGGCTAAGCGAAGCTTGCTGGACTATTTTTTTGCGGAGTTAGGGAAGAAGGAGGTGAGCTTTCTATGTCGTATTATTAAGTAATTCTTGCTGAACAAAGCAATTAGGCAAATGAGATGAAATTGAGTACAGGATTGCTTGCATGTTCTAATTGTTCTATATAAAACCATGAATGTAATGTCAACAACAGAGGTCAAATTAATTTAATAAATAAAAGTCTGCATTAACATAACATGAATGTCAAATAAATTGAGGCATGGATTGTGGCCCCAAAAGGGAATGTGTGATTATCTTATTTGGTGTTCACTTTCAATTAGACTGAAAGTGGATTATGAGAAAATGTGGGCTTGTTTTGTTCGTTATTATTATTATCTTTTTTTTTGGGGTGGGGTGGGGAGCTCTCTGCTTATGGAATAACATAAGCGGGGAAGAGAGTAAAATCTCAATTCTGCACAGAAGTCCTAATATTCAAATACTTGTTGTTGTATGACCAATCTTATGATCCGTGACTTAAGGTATTAAAATTATGACTTCCTCTGCTTCATTAATTGCAATGTTGTTATGTCAGGGGAGACAACTAAGTAAATTGCTTGATGAGGATCCAGCGGTGATGCAAAGAAGGACTTCCCTTGCTAAGAGGCTTGAACTTTATAGAAGTGCTCAGTCAGAAATTGAGGCTGTTGCATGGGCCAAGTAGAGAAGAGCAGTGCTTACTAGTTCTCCTTAGAGTTAGAACCTTGTTTTTTTCGTGGGAGGTATTATTATTATTATTATTGAACTGATTAAATTCATGAAATTAATTCTTTTCCTTTTGATTTAAGAGTGAGGTAGGATATTTTGTTTTGCTAAGGGTTAGGGAATCATTTTCGGCTTTCATTGCGTATTGTTATTCGCTTCCATTCACTTTAATGTGAGTTATAAAATATTGCATTCTTTGTTTATACTCATCCATTCATTTTCTATGGACTAATGGAAGCTGGAAAAGATTGCGGAACAGATTGTTTTAGTCATGATTTGATGGGATGAACCAAGGAGACGTTGGGTTTAGGCATTTTGTCATCATCTTTAACAATAACTGTTAATTTTAAGCTATATAAGTTATTTCATTTTATTTTTCTTAGAATGACTCTTAACTCCCCCTGCTGGCCCACAATGTGTTGTTATTCTTCTAAACTCAATTATCAATGGATTTAAAAATAATTAATTATCTTGAGTGAGATTTGTATGTAATTCTCTCAAGAAAATTTGACCCACCAAAAAATAATTCTATATCCGTCACAGCTTACATAATACATGTAATTGACTGAATAACTGTAATTTATATTTTGTCTTGTAAATAATGAGACTTGAATAAATAAATTCTATATTATATATAAATATAAATTATTATGGTAAACAAAAGTAACCATTTTTTAGGGTGGAAACAAAGGTAAGCTTCAGCAAGATTTGTTTACACTACAAAAATTATTAAAATGACTTTTTGATCATCTAATTTTATTAAAGATTTGATTTAGTTCTTTAATTTTATAAAGTATATTTTCAGCCTTCTAACTTTAATATCATTAGAGTAAATGATTTATTTTGATGCCAAGCATTGTTATTAAAAAAATTTAACTTAATATTCCAATACTTAAAAATGATTTGTTAATACTTAAAAATTTAATGTAGAAAATTTTTATTGATAAAATTTTTTGTCAATATAACATTAAGAAACTGATTTTATAATAGAAAACAAATTACAAGGCAATTGAGTAAAATTTTTAAGATAAATATATATATATATATATATATATGGCTTTGTCCATCAACCCCAAAATTGGACCAAGTGAAAAATATAAGAAATTTTATCAAACCTATATTAATAAATTAGACTGAAAAATTATAATTGCCCGGAACAATGTTTATCACTTGCATATTGTCCCAGCTTTCTGCTCACCGTCAGATCAGGCCTAGTGGCTTTTAGATCCTACTCTATTTAAAGGCCGTTATATTCACTCTTCATATCATAAACAACATCCACACTAATACCCTGACGCGTATAAGATCCTCAAATATTTCCAGTGTCATAATCTTTCTTAACATATTTGAATATCATCATTAATGCACTGTGTATCTGAATTGAATTCAGATATGAATATCAGGAAAAAAGTTGTCACAGTATGGTAGAAGTTGAGTTATCAAGAATAGAAAGTGATGATCTAATGATTCTGTGCGTGTACCAAACACTATCCCCACCACCCAACTGCAATGCAACCTTCAAATGTAAGAGACTAAAACCTGTCAACTGCCTCAGTTATCTTTAACACTTCCTCTCTCATTTTTGACTCTAAAGAGTCTTGTAAGCGACATTTTTTTTCTGGCCTTGGATCTCATATTTGTCTGTAGTCCATGAATGGCAAATTTGATATCTTGGATTCAGATATGGCCATCCTTTGTAGGCTTCTGTGTTCTGAATCAGGTCTTGGACTTCAAAATCATAGCATTTGCAGCTGATAATGGCCGACGTAGTGGCCTTGCATCAGAAAGCAGTTGCAAGAACACAAACTATCAAAGTTTCCTTCCACCACCATATCAGAATATATCCCATATGATATGCAAACCTGTATGGCATACTTATGAATTGAGGGTAAGTACAGGTCAGAATTCTCATGCTCCATTCATTATCCTACCATTTTGTTTTTCTCTCACAGAAAGTAATTTAGATCCTCTACAATCACAAGAAGGCCTATATATAGTACATTTGAATAGAATTATTTTTTAAAAAAGAAAAAAAAGATAAGTGCAAAAGGAAGTGAATTTCATACATACTCTCTTTTACGTGTTACTCTTTTTCTTTTTCAACATGTGCAACTGTACGGCGGTGAAAGATATAATTCACAAGAGGACGAGAACATTCGTATATTGCTCATCTTTGTGTCTTTTTAAATGTACAACTGCATGGCGGTGAATGATGGGCCCCATTTCTAGAGGTTGCAAAACCAAATTCTGTTCAGAAACAAGTTTCTTTCAAAGCAGTATTTTCTCTGGTTCTATACTAGTTCTGCATCTCCGCCCATATTAAAACCATGGCTAGAAATTCATGTTTGATCAGTTCATGAATTTCATGGTCGTCTCTTTGCATAAACTTTTTAGTAAACTTCTGTTGCGGTACATCGTTTTATTACCACTAGATGCGTAAAATTGAAACAAAATTATTCTTCTAGACATTAGTAACAGAATAAAATTAAGATTTTTGCCAGTGTGTAGAATCACTAACTGTTAACTTATGATTACTATAGCTATCCCCTATGCATCTAATTTGTTAAGGTTTGTGGTGCAGTACATCCAAAATGATCACACCACAACCATCCTATTATCTGCTCCCTATACAATTGGGTGGGTGGGAATAGGGTTCTCTAGAGATGGTATGATGGTGGGCTCAAGTGCAATGGTGGGGTGGATCAACAAACATGGTCATGCAAAGATCAAGCAGTTTTATCTTCAGGGTAAGAAGGCTTCAGAAGTGATAGCAGACAAAGGTGAAATACCTCTCAATAATATGCCTGCAGCTGTGGCAGCTAATGGAGCTGAAATTTACTTGGCATTTCAGATGCAACCCAGAACCCCATTTGGAAAGCAACCCATCTTGTTGGCTTTTGGAGATAAATACCCGAAGAACCACCATCTGCCAAAGCATGTTGACAAAACATCAATCATATTTGATTTCTCTTCAGGTGCAACATCTTTTTTCCTGACTTCTAGGGAAGGATGGTAGGAGCTACTCTGTTTCACTCTGTCTTGGTTAACCAAGTGATGACTGCTTCTGAATATCTTGCTCAAGTTTTTTTATGAGAAGTTACAGTAGTTCTTTGGCATGGAACACAATAACTAAACCGCACAGGGGAATGAAGCCACAGGCAAGAAAGTACAGGATTCTCTCATGTCAATTAAGGTTTTGAGATCATTCTAACAGAAATATGAAAGAATAAGATAGATGTGTGAGAATGCATCCTTGAGATCCTTAGGAAAAATTTAGTTTGAACAAAGCTTTGAGGTCATCTCTTAAGTGTAACACCAGAAAACGAAAGTGCCTAACAGTGGATTCTTCCATCTTTGAATAATAATAATTACTCTGCATTCTTTTATGTGATTTGGTGAAACTTGTAGCATCTTAAGATGTAATTTTATTGGGAAGGAACAAAATGATCAACTGAATCTCTTACAGGTTCCAAGGGTTCTGGATCCAATGAGCTGATTCAGATGAGGAAGAATCATGGAATAGTGGGTATAATAGGCTGGGGACTAGTCCTGCCCGTGGGGGCAATTGTTGCTAGATACTTCAGGCACAAGGATCCCCTATGGTTCTATCTCCATTCAGTCATTCAATTTGTGGGATTCGGATTTGGACTCGCCACAGTCCTTCTTGGATTACAACTATACAACAAAATGCAAGCTCATATACCTGCTCACAGAGGCATCGGAATCTCTGTCTTGGTGCTAAGTATTCTTCAGGTTTGCAACTGACCATTTCTATTTAATACTGAATATTTAATTCTCTAGTCTACAACTGCTCAAGGTCAAAGGTCAGGTGTCCCAGTGATGGATAGAAATTTGGAGACTTATGCTAGGCATACAAAAAATAAAATAAAATTTGATTAAATTTATTGTGTTTTAGTAATTATTTTTATCTTACAAATAATTTTTCTTTAACATATTTGAATTAGGTTTTACCTTATCTAGGTTTAAGTCAGTTTAAATTATTATTATCTTAATATTTTTATTTAGGATTATATTTAACCTTAATTGATTGTTGAATTTGATTGAGTTATTTGCGGTCACTCACCCCCAATTCCTCACTTTCTCCCTTGATTTCTCTTAGGTTCCCTACTCCTTTTCCCTCCTCCTCCTTTCCATTTGTTCTTCACCACCCAAGTATCAATCCTGGCCCAATAAAGCATGAATCCAAAAAAAAAAAAAAGAACGTAAACCTAAATTGTTATTGGACTTTATGTAAAACTAGCTAACCATCCATGCCATCCACGGGATTCAATGAACTCCCTCACGTATATCCGTGACCGTGAGCAATAAATTAACACCACCAATCCATTCTACTTTATCTTTGATTATAGAGTCCAAACACAGCCGTTGATTAGATATGTTTTTTACCTATTACTTTGTCGATGACAGTTTTGAAATGACTTTTTAAAGCTTTGATGAGGATAGGTATTGGCATTCTTCTTGAGGCCAAACATGAATTCCAAGATTCGCAAGCTTTGGAATTGGTATCATAGTTGGGTTGGAAGATTGGCACTTTTCTTTGCATCAGTGAACATAGTGTTGGGGATGCAAGCTGCAGGGGCAGGCAGTGATTGGAGAGTAGGCTATGGATTCCTTGTTAGTATAGTAATTGTTGCAGCTATCATTCTGGAAGTACTAGCATATCTGAAAAGATCAGAGATGCGATCTCTGCCTCCAAGCTTCCCAATGGATCCTGTTCCAGAAGCTACCTTCCCAGGCAATCTAACTAAAGGTGTGCTCTTCCTTCTTTTCCTTTTGGAAAGATTTTTTTTTTTTATGAGATTAAGTCTTCACAAATTGACAAACAAATTCACTTCTAATATATTAACATATCAGAAGTGAATCCCATTAAAAATTTTGATATATTAATTTTTTATTCTAGGCTTTTTCTTTCACCTAGACCTAAGAAGAGCTTTACCTCTCAACAGTTGAGTTCTCCCACCAATGGATTGACATCAAGATTTTCCCACTGATTAGAAAAAATTTCAAAGTACAAGGGCTTCTACTTAAAAAAAAAAAAAAACTCTCTTAAGAAATAGAACTTTCCATAGCATTAACTTTGGTCCTTGTTTTGTATAACTATAACTATGTACTGAATTTACTTCCGAAGTAAAACGTGCTAGTTTTATCTATCTAACCATTTGAATGATGCAGGGTGAATGTGATAGCTGCTAGTTTGCACAAGCAGCGTTTGAATGACACATACATGGCATATGATGTGAATGAGATGAGCTTCGGCATGCCTGGATGCTATTTTTTGGGCGAGCTCTGTTAGGGCAGATATGCAGAAAATGCATATGAAGCCAGCTATAGCTTTGCCAAGTTGAAAGCTTCAGTGGATTTGACTCTTTTCGCCTTCTTTTGATTGATCAGAAATGTAAATTAAGTTTTCCTAATTTTTTTTTTTCTGGGAGCTGTTTTCAAATTTAAGAATCAGATTGGTGAGCAACCATCTTTTGCTTGTGCTCTTGCCTTTTTCTTTTGTTTTCTCAATATCAACAAGAAAATCAAAATATCAAATTAAATTTTTGGGTGACTTGAGATACTGTCGGAAGGCTACCAACTTTAATCAAGAATTAAATCCAAACTTCTGCTTTTATTGATGACCACCCTTAGACCTTGCCAAAACATTTCTTCGTATGATTTCAGATCTATCATGGAAACACAAGTCAACAAACAGAGAAAGCGAGCAATTAATATAGAAGGTACATACAATTGAACCAAATTAATTAACAAAGCCAGTGATTAAAAAGTAATTAAAAAATGGAACTCCTTTAATCATGTAATTTATTATCTCAAAATTTCCTAACTACATAATGAATCAAAATTTTCACCTTAAAGGTGACCCTGAATCCTTAAAATTGAATAGTGATGGTAGCATACGGGGCAAATATGTAGGTCGATCAATGAAATACAGAGGATCTACATGCGGGGTAGAAGCATCAAAGTCCATATATGAACTGATTTTAGCTGCAGCTACTGTTCGACTTCCTGTATTGGTCCAAATGCAAAATATTATGAAGCTGACTTGCATGAAAACTGTTCTACGTGCAACTACTATCCTGCAAGAAAATTTGTCACGTACCAACTAAGCAAAAAATCATGGGTCCAAGAACATTCTACAGAAATGTGAGTTGGCAGAATAAATGATCATAAAAAAATTTAAAAAAATGAAAATAAAAATAAAAAGCTTTAATTTTGTAGATGAGTTAGTACCTCAGATTGAAGAGAAGCCTCCAGTCCTCCATCTCAAGAATTTGTCTGAAATATTTTGTGACTGAATATAATTCAGGCTAAGTCAAATCTAAACTGCATGATAGAAAAGCTTTGTTGATTTAAACATTCGTTTCTTCAAACTACAACCACTAAAAGTACATAATTTTTGGTGGGGAGGGTTGGTGAATCAACAATAAAGTATAACCGTGTTACAGCACTTCATGAAAAACATTCGACTAAATTGCACTTATTGTCCCTTTGTTGGAGAAAGCAATCAAGTTACTTTACTTTTAATCAGAGAAATATTACACTCTATTATACTAGTTAGAGCAAATCTAGTCATTCTAACGTAAATGAAAGTAATTTTAGCTCTCTAATTATTAAATTAAAAATAATAATCAGAAAAGATGACAACTAAATCTCATCAAGTCTTAAAATCGCACAAAGTAGAATTTAAATTTGTTTAATTAATTGTTTTTCAAAAAATTAGGGATGCATGATTGATCTAATTGAAACTCGACTACTAAAAATATCTTTCTTGAGTAAAGTAGAGAAATTATAAGCACAACATCTGGAAACTTATATTTAAAAAAGAAAGAAAACTTAAACAAAGAGAGATTTGAAAGTAAAAGACTAAAAGACCTACCAGAATCTCCCCAAAAGTCAGTGCAGCTACAAAGTTGACAAGGAAGAGCATTCTGCGATTCAAAATGCTAATAATTATCGAACTATCACTTCAAACTTTGTATCTGAAATTATAAGGCCTCTTTCTTCTCTGTCTGCAAATTATTCTGCTACATTTCCTTAGAAACACTTGAGAACAGTGCAGATTATGCAGTTGCTGTACAATCTTTACCGGAAGAGATGTTGATGGACTTGGGGGAATCACTTCCTCTAACCACACGGTTATAAAAAACTTTAAATGATTGTGAGCCATAGGGTCGATTGAGCAAACTTATTGGCATTCTCAGAGTCTGCTTTCGGTTTCTTCTCCCCCTAATCAAAATGCTGAAGGTTTTCTCGTTATCTGTGTTCTTATTGCTACCACTAGTGTAATCGTTTGAGCCAATGTGACTTAGCTTGTTCCCCGCAGCTTCATTCCCATTGTAACTTGGATTACCATTTTCCTGGATAGTTTCTGAACCTAGTCTGACCACCTCATCTCCGCTAGTTTCTGGAGCTAAAACTATCACCTCTTTCTTAGATTCCTTTAGATTATTAATATCTTCAGGCAAAACTGAAGCTGAACTTGGACTTTCAGAACCATGAGACTGCACTTGTTGTTCCATAGTAGAATCAGGTATTGGTTGAATCACAGGTGCTGGATGCGGAAATTCCAGAGGATGAATACCGGGCCAAACAGCATTGGGACCAAACTTGGATATGCTAGGGTTCACGTTACATTGCCATGTGAAATGATTGGCATGAAAGGCAGTACTGGTGACTGGAAAGGTGCTAGTTGGCACTGGTTGAGGTTGAGTATAAGGAGGATATATAAAAGGCAATGGTTGAATCATATTTGGTGTTGGAGGAGGCGATGGGTATGCATGATGAGGAGATGAACATATTGGGTTAACTGTAGGTAGCACAGTTCCAGGCCCAGGGTGAACATTCATGTTTACTGGCCAGGGGCCAATTGTTGGAACAGCACCAGGACCAGAAGGAAGGGTTATGTTCATGGGAAGTGGTGCAGCACGTGCAATAGCTGGTGATGGGTTAAAAGGAGCTGCAGATGCAGACAATTTCTTGTATGGGATGCCACGTACATCACTTGGGCTTGATGGTGGTATATTATGCCTCAAATCTTCACCTTCTTGTGAGATGACATTTGTATTAACATGGGATTTTGATGGGGATAGCGGGCTACACAATTCAAAGGCACCAGATGAATCATTTGCATCAGGTTCTTGTCTGTGAGAATCCACAATATCACTGACTACATCAATCTCTATGGTATTATCAACTGCTTCATGATCATCAACATCTCCAGCTTCAAGTCCCTCAACACTCTCAGACTTATCTTCCACAGCATCAGTCAGTTGAGTTTCCTCTTTCTCCTTAGTAACTTTATTATCCTCTTGTGAATCCTCCACAGAATCTGATAAGGAATTTTCCTTCTCTTCTAGTTTATCATTGACCATTTCTGTGGTTGTATTAACATTTGAATTTGCTTCAGTAACTTCTTCCTCGTAATGTTTGCCAACATCAAGTCCATCACTACTAGAAATCTCACTCTGAGGATTACAGACCTGCAACATGGAAATTGTACCTGGTGGAGCCACCGCTACTTCCTTGTATGAAGGAGATTTTCCAAGACTAACAATTGAAGCCTTCGTTGGATTAGCATCATTAGGCGTAGAATTTGAATCAGGTTCCAAATGAGAACTAAATAGCTTGTCACCAGTTCCCGATGTATCCTTTGCACTAGTTGCACTGGATGAAGGTATGGACTTCACCCTGTATGTAACAGCTTTGACTACTTTCCTTCCATATTTATTGCCTTGGGTGATGTTCACATTTTGGTTATCTGTATAAACCCCATGGGATATGGTTCGCTTTTTCAAAAAGTAAAACCTGCTATTCTGATTTGTACCCTTATTCAAAGGATAATCCATGTCAACCTCCGCATTCTTCTTCTGGTAACTATAAATCTTGCTAACTGCAGCCCGTCTTTGCTTCAGTCTCCGGCCATATGATCCAGTTGATCTTGGTCTTTGGACTGGTTGCCACCCGTCCTCCCCATCAGCGTGTGCATCAGCCAAAATTTCGCCAGAAACTCTCAGCTTCTCATCAGTAGTCTTCTCTAAATTTGGCTGTTCTGACTCAGGTGCCGAGTTCATCTCCTGCTCAGCATCTGCCCCACCTCCTGGTTCAGTTGTAGAGGTCTCTTCATCCGAAGGCTCTTTTGGCGTTTCCTTTGAAGACTCATCAGAACTTGCAAAGCCAATGTTTTGGTAGGATTTCACCCGTAGCTGACAAATAATATAAAATTCATATAGAGTGATGTTACAGAAGAGATGGATGCAAGTTGCCATATTTCAGTAATTCAAAATGGTATGAATATGAACCTTCATGCACTACATAGAGTTGCAGTACTCAATAGCTTTCCATTTTGACTATAAACTAATCCGGTCCTATCTCTCATTCCACATTGATTGCAATTGTTTACATCTTACAACAGTGTTAAAACATAAAGTAAAGTTGGTTTAGTCATAGCAGCTGTGTTTTATAAATTTTATTCTCAATATAGTAACTCCCATCAATAGTAAGGGTTAATCCTTCCTAAAGAAGATTGTTAGCCGAATTTCTATTCATTCCTTTTTCAACTCAAAGTATATCATCTATTTGACCAAGGCTTTATTATTAATTTTACAATATTGTGTAGCTGACAACATATTTAAGACAAAGGTTTCTTGTCACGCCTCACTTCTTAAAGACTTACCATATGCAATGCCAAGATCAGAAAGGGAAAACAAAATCAATATTCAGGTGGTAAGTTCTTCTGTTTACTTCACGTATGATATTTCTCATTGGTTAAGCCATAAAAGTTGATCCTTTGACGAATTTGAATTAGTCAAAGAAGTTTCATTTATGAGGATTCAGCACATTGCACATTGATCAATCAATCAAAGAGATATTTTAAAAAAAAAAATGACACTAATACAATCCTCAAAAGAGCCCCAGTCAAAAAATAACAGCAATAACAGAATGAATATAAATAGGACGTGAGAAAGAAAGTCAGAGAATCAGGCAATCCTTGTATAAGTGTTTGAAAGCATCTCAAAACTGATCAGTCAACATTATTATTTCCTGCAAATCTGCTTCATACCTTTGCTGTATGACTTCTTCTCTTCATTGCAATGTCTCTCCCTTTGGCATCATTATTGGGATTAATGTAGTCAAGGAGATCCGAGACACTGACACATTCCATGGGAATATAAGAAATCAGTACGTAAGTTATGTGTGAATTTTCTGTGTGTGTGTGTGTTGTTAATTATGTACATCAATTATCAACGTTGATACAAAATTAACAGATACCACTATTATGAGACCCATTAAAAGGTACGAAAGCAAATAAAACCAGCAACCAGGCTTCAAACGCTGAGATCAGCCAAAGCAGCATGAGATCAAGATTGCCAAAGATGATTTAGGCTTACCTTAAGTGGCCTTTACTAGCAATTGAAGCATCAGGTTTTCTAGTACCATTTCGTGCAGCTTCTTGCTGCTCAAAAGCCTTGGACTCAAAATACTCAAGCCAAGCAGCCGCATCCTGTAGCGTTTATCACAAAACTCAGTTTATGCAAAATTTAAAGTAGGTATCATACATGCCACACAGAGAAGGAAAGTACTAAGTTTAACTGGTGCACGAAGGCTCGGTTGGCCCAATGCACCCAATCTGCTCTGGTAAAATTGGACTGCGCCAAATTTGAGCAAACCAGGCCAGACATCCTAATCATGCAGATGGCCCATGGGTTTTTTTTAATTACATCTTTTTCTTCCATAATATTACATAAAATAGTCATATCACATGATTGCATTCTAAAAGATTGGTTGATATGCTCTACCAAAAAAAAAAAAAAAAAAGATTGGTTGATATACATAATATGATGAAATTGATAAAAAATTATAATTAAAAATATAATAAAACGAACAAATAATTTCATAAATAATGCGAAAAATTACATATTTCCGTGTATCTCAAATGTTCTTCTCATTACAGGATTGCAAGATGATTTTTCTTTTACCAGAAAATTGTTAGATGATTGAAAAAAAACACTGAAAAATAGCATTTTAGTAGGTTTGTTTTTTCATATGAGAACAGGCCGGCCCAAAAAGATGGCCCAGCAGTGTCACGGGTTGAGCAGAGGGCCAGAGTAATGCCTGACCCAACAAAACCTGTGCAGACCCAGAGGATTTTCTCTCACATCATTTCAAGGCTTCAATCTGCCAAATTTTTCGTCTAAAAGTAATCTTATTTTCTTCATAAACAAATTTTCGTAGCCCAACAGGACAAACTCAAATGTGAGAATGTACCTGTGTGCGCAAATCATCTGGGCCAAGTTTTGCCCGCAGAATTTGCAAAGTTGTTTGCTCATGCTGCACGCTCAATGGGTATGCCTCCATCAATGAGAGAGCTATGGCTATTGCATGATAACTTGCAGCTGTCTGCAGAGAACCATCCTCCAATAAATACGCTGATGTCATTATACAGGAGTGAGAGGTTTCAAACAAATACCACACTCTAGGCACTGGCTAATTTCTTTTGGCCATAATACACCTATATCTTTTTTTTTTTTTTTGACTGAAACCTATATCTATTATATATGCAATATAACAAGTATTCTATTTGACCACCATAAAATAATCAACTATCTAAATTTAGGAAATTGTAAAATCATTTTATTAAAAAAATTATTGAAGATAAAGAATATATTCAAAAAAGCAGAAAATAATTTTTAAAATTAAAATTATTTATAATGACAATTAAATTAATAAAAACATGTGTATTAATATAGATTTAATAAAATTTTAACAACAATATTTTCAGCACAATAAATAATATTGAATAGAAGTTTTGAAATATTTTTAATTTTAATAAAAGAAATCAATATTATTCTTGAGGGTATATTGGTCATACGATTCCAGGGGATAAATATATATATCTTTAAACAAGGTACTACGATTGAGCTAACAATAAAGAGGGATGAGTCACGAAGAGTAAAGCAAGTTAAGGAATACCAAAAACAAAATAATACACAGATAAAATAACCAAAAAACAATGGAATATGCTCCATGTACAATATGTGAGCACAATTTTCCTAACTTGGCACGGTGACAAGTTATTATGCTGCAGGTTTTAAGCCATACATACAGGGATCACGGTTCACTCCTATTTTTCACATAAACCTTGGCAAAGTCAAGCAACAAAGATGAACATATCAAACCTGAATATGATCTGGACCAAGCAACCGTTGGTTGCACTTCAAAGCTTTGTGGAGATATCTAAGGGCAACATGCACATTTCCGAGACCTTCCTCCATCATAGCCACATTAATATAAGTGGCAGCAGTATTTGGATGAGATGGGCCACAGGTCAGATGCAGAAGATATAGAGCACGCTTTACGTACCTAATTAATAACAGTAGAAGAGCCAAGTTGAGAAAAACGATCAGAACGAAGAGTGAAAGCAACTTATTTTATATAAAGTTATATATAAATCCGAACTCTCAAGAAAACTATTATGCAGTCAACACAAATATTGTTATCATGAATACTGGTTTTACTCAGTAAATGACTACTAGATTATCTTGTCTGGTGAACTCCTAGAAGTAAGGATATCTTAACCTTGTCTTTCTTGTAAAACCTCTCTTCACCTTCTAATAAATTATTGTACTTTTTTAAAGTTAAAAAGAAGTAAAAGTAATTCATATCGGGTCAAAACTCTGACCATATAATTGAAGCACGAAACATTATTCAACATCACTGCATTGCACTGAAAAAGAAAAGAAAAAAGAAACATACTTCAGAGCCAGCTCTGTATGTTGAAGTCTGTAATAGAAAACTGCAAGATCCCCATAACTCTTCATCGTATCTGGGTGATCCAGGCCTAATTCTCTCTCATTGATATCCAAGGCTTTTTGTTGATAAATTGTGGCCTATAAATATAGCAAGCTTCTCGATTGTTAAGTATGGCTTCCATGTACAGGTCAAAAAAAAAAAGTATACCTTCGATGGGTATAAGCAAATATTCTCACTTATTCGCAGGTGATATCACACACACACACACACATTAAAGCCACAATTAAGCATAAGATTAGTGTCATGACATCCAAAAAATGTCATAAATAAATACAATTCAAGAGAATGGAAATGTCAATAACACATGTAGCCATTTCATAAAATTTATACATTAACGCAAGTCAGTACTTGAATCAATTTTTGTAGTTATGGCCTCCATTCCTTCAATATCATCATTTTCAAGTCTAATCTCCAGGTTTTTCATAAGCAGACTTCTCTACAGATTTTATTATTAACTGATGGAGCAGAACAATTTAGGAAGCTTTAGACACATGGTTGTTTAGAGAAGAGCTCGGCCAGTTTTATGGTTTTCTTTTCAATGCATGATCCATGGTTCCCCAATATTTAAAATAAAAGGGAAGAAAATGGGAAAAGGAAAAAACACACATTACACACAGTTCGCAGAAGTCCCCCAATAGTTAAAGTAAAAACAGGAAAAAGAAAAACCACGCGCACGCATTTAAATTGACTACATAATCAAACAATGTTATTATCCTAATCACAATACTATCACATTTCCAGAAGTTTTAGACCTTTTAGAGGATGGGATCGGCAGCTTTATTCTGGATACTACGATCAGACATTTTATGTCTAGATCTAAATCATGACTGCTGTGAAAGCAACTTTGGTTTTGGATGCAACAATATCTTACAAACACCAAAACATGAATGATAAAATGAAAAACCTGATTAAAGTCTCCAGTGTGATATAAAACTACAGCAAGCAGGCTATATGCTCCTGCTGTCATCCGATGATAGGGGCCACAAACTGCAACCAGCTTGGCAAGAGCCTGTCGCAAACAAATTATAGCAGTTATCATACAACAAAAACTAACATGGAAGGTAACAACTACTGAAGCACCATCCAAATTTTCACAGATATCCCCGCAAAGAGTGCTGCAGATATATACCTTTGTCCCATGGGTAACTGCATCTTCAAGCTTTCCCTTGTCTAAAGCTGTTTTGGATGACTCTAGTAGTTGCCTTCCGTCTGCAGAAGAGCAAGCTGCTTGCTGCAAAGGATCAAAATGCACACCACATATTAAATATGGATCAATTCAAATAATTTCAAGACATACAAGAGAACAAATATTTATCTTGCCCTGTGCTTTTCTTTACCTTGTGAACCGGGACCAAGCTGACAATATCAGATTTATGGAATGGAGTTGGAGAATCCATATCAAAATCCCTTGGAACAAGCTCAATACCCACCTAGCATAAGATGTTAAGAAACAACTTGTCAATTATAGACTGCTTAAAAAGTCGATCTGATAACCATAAACACTACAATCTATTACATATAAGTATGCTTATGTGTGAATATCCATGCATAGATATGACAAATATCTATTTGAGAGATATTGCAATCAAAGAAAAAGAGGAAAAAAAATGGCTCCGTTAAGTTCACAACAAGAATCACATTATAGTATAGGGACCACATTCTCATGGTATGATTACTCTAATAGGTGGGAAAAGCCATCAAGCTATCATGTACAACAAACAACTGCCCATACAATTGGCATATCAACGTAAGAAAATATTTCAATTTCAGATGCATAGCAAGTGACCACCGTATTCAAGTGGCAAAGCCAAATTCAAATAACCTCCAGAAGTCTATCTGATTTCAATCATTATCATAAACAGAGTCTATGATCAATCTGTAATTCACAAGACATGATAAAATTTAGACATTTGTATTAACAAAAATGCTTCAAATGGTAAAGGTGCAGATTTAAGACTCCATGGATTATGATTAATGAAATCCATGCAAGCCACACTAGAAACTATAATTCTATTGTCAATGTTTCAGTACCTTGTGACACAACCCACGTAGAATTGCAAACTTCCTCACATCTCTGTAGCTTGAGCTGCTAAGATACCAATGATATCGTTTCTTCAAAAAAACCTCCAGCCATTTCCAAACCAGAGGGTGGATATTGCATGATTTATATGATTCTTCATTTTTGGGAACACCAAGCAACACGTTCAGTGCACCAGCTATTGATACAGCCAATTTCTCTTTATCAGTAACAGCAGCAATCACAGCCTGCAAGATGTGCTTAAAAGCTCGAACTATCATCTCATGAATACACAGTGATTGCACATGTGACAATTTTTCTGAAAGTTTCACCTGTGAAGAAAACCAATAAACAAATTAGCATACAATACCAAAAAAAAACCAAATTCGCAAGTGATTTAAATCCCAAGATACAAAATCTTTCTGCCCTTTAGTCCTAGGATTTAAAGCCCTAGATAACCAAGGCGACAAGCAATGTTTAAGCAAGAGTAAAAAATTGATACTAGTAAAATGAGAGTGCTAATGAAAATCGCTGGGCACTCTGATTGGCTCATTAAAATTGTCCTTTAAGAAATTTAAAGGGTTTAGTATCTGATACAATAAAATACAGACCACATTTCATGAAGAGGATCTGTAGAAGATTGAAGCAGGATACATGCTGAACTCTAAGAAACTCAAGAGCTTCTTTTCATAGATATTTAAAGTGCAGTAGATAGAAAAGTTTAGAGCTCTCACAACATGTCCAAGAGAACGCATCCTTAGACCCCTAGTATGCATAAAATCAGTTAGGGTGCGACCATCAACTGGAGAAAGTTCCAATGAGCCAAAGTCTGCCACCTGTTTTGCAAAATTGAAATTGAAATTGAAATCAGCAGAAACTTTTAGGCTGGAAAAAAAATCAGAAAATTAACCAATTTTTCAGTCAGTACCAATTTTGGGAGAGCAACATCTGTGTAATATTTCTGAGACATGTCAATCAGGTCTTGCATAGACTGTTAATAACATGAATAAGTTTAGTTAAGCTGATTGATGAAAAACCAAGTTCAAATACTAAAAAACTCGGAGATGCTTTATTAGACCTAGGTTACCTTGCAGTGAAGTCCAGTTCCTGATTCCTTTAACCGAGAAAAAGCTGCTTCAGGCAACATGCCCTTCAGCACAAGCTCATTTTCTGCTGCTGTAGCTTGATTCTGGGATTCTATTGAGGGCAACTGGGTACTTTCAACCTCCCCATTAACACGCGCATGAGATCTTGAATTCTCAGGCTCCAATTTATGATTGTTTAAATCAGATTTCTTTTTGTTATTCTTGAGAACTTTAAGGGGTTTCCCAAGACCCTCAACCTTCATTTCATTCTTAGCCTTCTCAGAAGATGGTTTTTTATCTTTTTCTGCATTGTTTTGGTCCTGCAAATGTTGTATCCAACAGGCCCCAAGTTCCCATCTCACAAAATTGTCCAAATTAGGCTCCTCTTCCTGAAGCTTGGCAAGGCTTTCTTTAATCAGTCTTTCCACAAAAGCTTGGGAAGCACCAAGTTCTTCACGTGCTTGTATTATTGGCCTATTGTTCTCTGACTGTGGTGTGTGGTGAAGAAGTAACCTCAAACTGCAAGGAACAATATAATAATTATCTGCCCTGTGATTTTGTCATGAATGACAACTGGATCAACCATCCTCTTAACAAAGAGAGAACAATGCTAACATACAGCTCAGTTCAACAAAGAACATCCACTAGATGCATCTATTTAGAACTGGCTAGTTCTCAATTTTAGCCTCAAGCTAACAAAATCACAAGGAAAAATGTACGTGAGAGGAAAAAATATGAAAGTGGAAAATATCGAGAGCACAAATAATTAATAGAGTATCATGTAAACTGTGTTAACATTGCAGAATTAAGGGCAACCTGTTAATGTTGAGTGCATTGGCACCACCTTCTGGCTGATCAAGTATTTCAATGTGTTGAGATGAAGAATTAACAATTTCGCTCTCTCCACCCTCAGCTTTCACAACAACTATGTAACCACAATATCTCAAACTGATGACACTTAATGTCATAATATCCTGCAGTCAAGAAATAGTTCATTAGTGTTGCGTGGAAAAGAAGCAGGCATACCGAACAAGTTGACCGGTCATTTTCTGCATCAAATAAATATCATACATGGGCAGCAGTATTCTCATCAGCAGTAATCCCTTTCAGAAGATTTCGTTCTACCAGATCCTTTTGGCCCACACCGGTGGCTGCAACTCCATCAATTTTAGTATCAATCTTACAGCTTGCAACAGAAGCATCTTTGAGAACCCTGATACTCAAGTCACCTACTCTCTCAGTGTAAAGAATATCATTGTCTACATCAGAACAGATTAAATGCAGCTGTCCCATTACATGCTGAACAGCCTTAATGGCTCTGAAAATGGCAACATCAACGAATAAGCTATGAAGAAGGAATGCCTTTCTGTCTCGAACCTGCCTTTCTTCTGCTGTCTTGCAAGGCATAGATGCAATAAATGAAAATTCAGTTGCCCATGGAATCAAATCACATTCTCCGTCTCTTCCAAGACCACCACCATTTCCTCCCCAATTTTCATCTTCCATAGGAAGAGGAGGGAATGCTGCCGGTGATTGTGCTGCAACAGGAGGAACAAGCCATGTGTTGGCTCTGAAGCCATATGGGAGGTTCCCAAACTGAAGAGACCAAAAGAAAAACAGGAAGAGAAAATAAACAAACGATTTGTCACAATATGGGCTAAGTATAATTTGTAACTTATACGGGTTAATTAGATTAAAAGTGCATTCGCAAATTATATAGCAAGATATAAATAATATTATAATGCATTAAATAGGTGAAGAAACTTATGAAAAAAAACTGGTGTTACCTTGTTACGCTCTGAAAATGCTTTCATGAGATCATCATAGGCCTGAAATTTGAGAAATAAGAATCATAAGCTGTACAGGGTTTTAGAAGCTGAAACACACGAAACATGATTGAATATATTCAATTCAAATGTTGACGTCTTGTCATCTGGGATTTCTTCTTGCGGAACTTGATAATATAAATATACAGCAATCAAAGGATTTGTATCTTCACCAGACTGACTAGTTACTACCACGGAAATTGGAATATGGCCAATTCAAATATTAACCCTGCTTAACTTTGGAACAAAATGTAATTCACATCGAAAAGAAAACTGGAACTCGCAACTTCAATTCCTTCCAAGAATAAGAGCCTATTTTTTTAATAGCAGACAACTTCTTAAAAGTTTGAACACCTAAACCCAAGTCTGATGGTAGAAGCAATTCAAGATAAATCAAAGGCAAACTAACATTGTCAAAAGCTCTACTTTGCTGGCGTAACAAATCAACGAGATTGTGACTTAATATCCGCTGCTTTCCAGCACTGTAAAATCCCTTTCTGCATGCTTCAACATGGACAACTTTTCCATTACACAGCTTGACCTGCATACAAAAGAGTATCATCATTATAATTTTATTTACAGTCTTCCTCCAAAGCGAAACACCAAAGGGTGACGATAAAGACGAAGTCTTACATCAAGTGAGAAGAGATAACCAGCCTCTGATATCTCTTCAACTTGCCGTCGCACTGCTCTCTTTACATCTGTATTAATAACTTATCACAATGTCTTTTTCTTATATTAAAAAAAAAACTGAGAAATCTAAAGTAACAAATGAGATTGAAAAGAGTACATTGGAGAGGCGGAATGAGATGGGAAAGAGAGAAAAACTCGTAGAAGTTCCCGAGCTTAGGCAAGGAGTGGCTAATCTCGCCGTCTCCGTCAACTGGCGACTCGTCTTTCGGTGTTTGCTTGATCATATCGGCGTTGGTCTCGGCAGCCGGAGGCGGCGGCGCTTGAGACTTCGTAGACTTCGGAGTGGTGGAGGTCGCGTTTTTCGAGGCATCGGGCTTGGAGCTATCCTTGCTCGGCGGCGGCGACGGGCCGAAGCTTGTCGTGCATGCCACGATGTCAAGCAATCGTCTGACGTGGGCCACTGCTCGCTCTTCATCGTAATCCTCTGCGTCAGATATTCAGAACATCAGAGGAAGAAGCAGACCCGTACGACGTCGTAGGTAAGCTTCAAATTCCACGTCAATTTTTTTTATTTTTTACCAACTTTATTTATTTTTTTAACAGTAAAAGAATAACAAGCACTTAATAATATAAGTATCTTTGTTTTTTTCCCGGCAGATCAAATAAATATCATTAAACATAACAAATTATAAATTTATAATGCTCAAGAAAAATAATAAATCATGACCAAAAAAAAAGAAAGAAAAATAATAAACACCTTCAAATAAAGTGAGGACGCAAGGCTTCAATGCAGACACGTCCATCGTGTCCTTTAACCGTGGCCCTCTCACCTGCGTTACATGATGCCCCATTATTCACTATAAACAACATTGCTTTTAACATATGAACAAATTCAAAGCTAGTAATTCTTTATTTCCTTAGGATTTGCATTCTCTAGCAGTGATGACACAATATTAATACTTGATCGTTCCTTGATAATTCGGGTTGTTCAAAATTTATTTTTTAATACCGTTTTAAATTCACATTTTATAAATGGAAAAAAACACCATGGAGAGAATTCTAGGTGGGCAGTCTGGCTCGTCAATGTCTGGATGACATTCACCCAAGAAAATTGTAGGTTGTAACTCTTCAAATTTTAACATTAAAAATGATGGTGAAATTTTTATAAAATCAAATTTTAATTTTAATTTGCATTTGTTTATATTATTATTGTCAAATTATCTTATTAAAATATGGAAAGTATATCATTATTGTGAAATTATCTGAATTAATTAAATTGAAGAAGATTTTTTTTTTTTGGTAGGGAAAACAGCTGAAATGCATGATAAAACATGCCTGCAACCTTTTTTATAAAAAGCAACATGGCTGCAACTTCATCTCTTTTGTTGAGATCTTCCTAACACGTAATTTGAAGGCTAAGTTTGTCGCGTGCGTAATTTTCAATTTATAATTATTGTTAATAAATAAAAAATATCATTAAAATAAAAAAAATTTGCTATTTGATTTAATATAACGGAAAAACCATTGAGTTCAAAAATCGACTTGTTAAAATCAATATTCCTAAGATATTTTATTTATTTCATATATTTTAAAAAATTAAGTTTTTTTATATTATAAAAAAATTATATGTTCCTTTATTTTTATCACTAATTTTAAATAATGATATAACTATATTAAATATATTCATGCTAGCTAGTTAAAAAAAATTAAAAAAATAATTTAATTATTATAAAATGTCTTATATTTTAAATTAAAAATTACTTATAAAAAATGTCTTACAAATAATGATTAGAGAGTAAGTCAATATAATTTTTAAATTTTTAATATTTCTACAAAAACAACCAATTATTGGCCAGAGATTTAAAGATTTTGTCAAAACACGAGTCAAAAAAATTGGCTGTGATAAATACGGCATCATGTCTTGTATCATGTCCTTATTGAGTTGGCCTTTTTTTGTTATCACAATAAATATATATATATATATATATATATACAAATTATTTATACGAAAATTATTTATTTAATTTAAAATTGCAAATGCCACCCATATATTTTTTACCTCATGTGATAGGGAAAAATTTGTGATGTAACAAGTCTCTGTGTTCACTGATAAAAGCCGACGAACATCTATTATCCTGTCCGTTGATATTCCCTGCAGGAAGAAATTCTCAAACATTATTAATTATTAATAATTAAGTATAATATAAATTAGAATATTTTTACACCAACATCATACAACATTGAGAATAATTAAACAACTTAACTTTTATAATTGAAAATTAAATTTAAAAAATATCACTATAATCTAAATAATTTTATTTTAGTTTTTAATATTTCATTACACGTATGATTTAGTTTTAGTTTCATTCTACATTTAAAATATTGAAAAATACATGTCAATAAACTTTAATAGAATATCAATAAAATATTAGCAATAAAAAATAAATTCTAATTATAAATTGTCTGATTCAATCATAAATTATTATTTTATGAAAATAAAAATAAAATAAAATGATAATAATTTAAAAAATATATTTTTATGCAAATTATATTGCTTTAACTTATAGTAGTAATAGTAATTAAAATATAAATACAAATATTAGTTTTCGGTGCCCTGAACTGTCAACTCATCAACCAAACATTAGATATTTTGTCAACTAGAGTACATCAGAAAATTATTGAAATTAAGCTATTAATTTTTATCAAAAATTAAATTAGAATTATTTTAATTTTAGAATATGTATAAAAAAATTCAGGGTTACGTGAACAGTTAAATAAACGCTGGATATTTTGGGAAATTGTGGCTTAGCTAAACCAAGTAACTTGTACACTAAAAACTCATGTTGAGAACAATAACATGCGATTGACTGAAAATGAGGTCCAAACAATAAGCCGAAAAAAGTAGGTTATGACTTGAAGACATTGGTTTTGTGTTTTGGATGCTAGCTGAAGCTACTTTAGAATGATTAGAGTTATGTTTGTTCTAATATACACAACCTAAAATGACTCCGAGCTAACTTACACCCTTATGTTTTGGCTTGATGATGATGATGATGATGATGATGATGATGATGATGATGATGATGATTGAATTATTACATTGCTCCTATGTTTACTCAAATTTTATAATTATTATCATATCATATTTTTTATTTTTAAATTCAATTTTAAGTTTGATTGAATGATATTGTAACTATATATACAAATAAAGAATAATAAATTTTACAAAAGAATGTCTATTGATATAAATTATATAATATACAAAAAAATTTATGAAAATTATATATAAATTGAAGTGAGGTATGGGTTGTGGCAAGGGGTTTAGACTCTATTGATATTAAAAAAAATTATAGAATATCTATATACTTTAGTTTCTATCTCAAAATAAATAAATTTTGGAAATAAAATAGAACAAACGATATTTGTAAAAATAGAAGACAACTTTATGATTTACTTCAATAAGAATCTTGCAGCTGCAAGGTATAAATATCAAGTACTAAAGATAAACACAGTTGGTAAAAGATTCCTAGAAGGGTCGTGACATAGAAGAGGCATGGTAGATGCCAGCATATAGCAATTAACCAGTGACAAGTCAAATGCACCAATTAAAGTAAGCGTGTCAAACATTTTTTTGTGTTCTTCCTCAATAAAATAATTAATAAATAAATGAATAAAATGAATAACACTTTATGAATAAAAGTTCAATTTAATTCAATGGCAACAAACCTTGAGAATAACTTGAGTTTCGTCAGGAAGGTTTACAGTGATATCCAAGACAACTGGAAGAACTGCATAGTTGTTGAACGAAGCCAAATCCAATTCAATTAATTAGAAGAGAAAAAAAATAAAAATGAAGAAGCTATTATTAAAATAAGTGCTTTCATTGAAAAAACTAATCAGCAATCATTAATTCGTATAGTAATAAGAATATATATTATTACCTTTCTCTTCCTTTTTCTTTTTCTCTCCCTTGGCCTTCCCACGACTGTTTCTTGGTGCCATTTTCTAGCTTTGAGATTGAAAAAAGTTGAAAATATTGGCTTTCTGGCACCGTATAAACACAGAATCACAAGTTATTAGTTTCTCATCAGTATAAGCAATTCAAGTTTCACGTGGAAAATTATTCAACGCAGAAGAAAAGAATAAACATAGAGAGAAAATTAATAAACTTATAGCGAAAACAACAGAAGTGCAGAAGCACAAGTTTATGCAGCTTAAAAAGCCATGGCTGAAAATTTTTGGACTTATCAGAAAATTTTGAGTTTAATCTTCATTATCCCAATTCAGGATAAGGTAAGCTCAAAAAGCAGAGAAGAAAATAAATGAGTCAGAGTAGGCAAAGAACATGAATATTGAGGCTTTATAAAGCTTTCTGGCACTGTGAAAGCACAAGTTAACACGGTCCATGAAGCGAAAACCTGGTATCTCAATCTGAAAATCTTGGGATTCTCATTTGTCCAATTCAGGATAAGAGAAGCTTGAAAATCACGGAAGAAAAGAAAGGCAACAGAAAACTCAGAGAATGGAAGCAAATATGCTTAATTCTCACTAACGCAGTTCAGGATAAGAGATAGAGTTTCAAAACACACAGAAGAAAATAAATTCAAAAGAACAAACACAGGGCAAGAAGATTTCTTAGTATTTGAAGCTTCAAATTCTCAAAGACTAATCAGAAAATTTATCCTCAATTCCCATTCACCCAGTTCAGGATAAGAGACTCTCAGAATCAGAAACACGCAGAAGAAAACAAATGCAATAGACCAAACAGATAGCAATCAGAGAACTCTCAAGCTTAAAACTTGGAAGACCAATCAGAAAATTTGTCCTCAAGTCTCAAGGACCCAGCACAGGAAAAAGAGAACGAGGTTCAAAATCCGTAGCAAAAGAAAAGAAAAAGAGATAAAGGGCATGACATTAACCCAAGAAAAACCAAAAAAGATAAGTGCTTTATTTTTATTTATAGAAGTGGAGAGGATTGAATGAAGAAGCAGAAACAAAATCTATATTTGATTACCAAAGTGCTCCAAAGAATGAGGATTTGAGCAGAGAAAAGAAAGTTCAAAAGGAGGATAATGAACGGTGAAGAATAATGACCATTGAAGAAGAAGAAGAAGTGGAGCTCTCAAGTCTCATCCACTGCAAGGGGGAAAAAGGGCAGACGCAGGCAGAGATATGGAAGAGAGGATGGTGTGATAAGGCAGGAAGGGCTGAGATTTAACGGTCAGAATTTGGCTTTTTATGGCACCTTCTGGCCTTGTAATATTGGACTAAATCTAATTTTCAATTTGCTTCCGTCTTTTTTTTTTCTTTTTTTTTTTTCATTCAGTTCTAGCCCAAAATATTTATCCAGGGGTTTTATTTTTAATGCTTTAATTTATTCAGGAAAATCACTTTAACGTCTCACACTAGAGATTGAAATATAAAAAGTCTTATAAAATTACAAAATTACTTTAAACTTTAAAGTTTTATATTCTTTACCAAAGTTGTTAGTTCACTGTTCCTTCTATTTTTAAATATAAACAAAATGTTTACATGGTTTCTTTTTTTATGAGCAAAACAATAATTTTTAAGAAGCATTTATATATCTTTCATTAAATAATAGTATCGTTAAATTAGGGGAACATAAAAGATTAATTATAATTAGGGGAACATAAAAGATTAATTATAAGAGCATTTTAGTCCAAACATTTAAATTTAAGATAATTATTATAATTGATTAAATTTCTTAAAATGCGTCAGTCAATTAAAATTTATTTATATTTGAAAACAAAAGGAATATAATGAACTTGTTAATTACTGAATAATTGTTCATTGAAATTTTTTAATTGATAGCTAGGCAACAATAATTAGCAGCTATATTTGGTAATAATTAATAACTTCAATAAAAGACATGAAATTTTAAAGTAATTTTTTAATTTTATGAGATTTTTTTTTATATTTAGGTTTTGTAGAATTTTAGAGTGATTTTTTAATTAATTCGTTTAAATTATATTTTTTTCCTTTTTTATTTTCTTTTCTTTATGTAGGTGCTGGAAGCTCCTGCATTTTGTGACGGGGATGGGAGACAGGCCACTGCTTAAGCAGGTCCACAAATCAGTGAATCACAGATATAATTATTCTTTGCAATTGAGAAAATAATAATTAATTAAAAATTTTAACTTTTATACTAGTTTTAAAATAATTATGAAGGTCTTAATTTTTTTTAACTCCACTGGAAGTGGTAATATTATTAAAAAAATATGTCTGTTACCTAGCATTCAAAATAATACTATGTTTTTTTCAACTAGCAAATTTATACTACCTTTATATTAAGTTATAAGGCATTTTTAAAAGAGGTTTGATATTCTAAAATATAAGAAGATACTTTGACATTAATGTTTTTTCAATGTTATCTTTTCTATTATATTATCTCTCTTTAATATTATTTCACAAATAAATTATTAAATAAAGAGTATTTTTAAAAGTTTATATTTTTTACAATAAATAAAGTTGTAAAGTGTGTATAATGAGTTTTATTGGTATTTGTAATTTTGTTTAGAAGCAGCCTTAACTTTTTTCAACAAAATATTTTTGTTTTTGGATAATTACTTTAAGGTTCAACTCACACAATTAATTATTATCAGGTTTATTGATAATTAATCTTAGAAGAATGTATTCAATAAACTTGTGAGCAATTAATTGTGTTGAATGAGACTTTGATATAATTCTCTCTATTGTTTTTCACTTGAGATGATGTGAAAAAGTCCCACATCAGATAAAATTGAATTTAATAACTAATATATAATAAAAAGGAAGGACACATCAACTTGAGCTTTGAAATTTTGAGTTAAGATGTGATATTCTTCCGTTACTCTTACCCGTCTCTCCTCTTCAACCATTCTCAGGTAGTCGTTCTCTATTTCTAACAAGTAATATCAAAGTCAGGACCTAAAGTGCTAGTCCCATTTTAGGCTGGCCCAAAAATATAAATACTTAGTGTTTGGAGCATATTTGATATGGAGAGTTTGTGAACTCATATTTAAGAGGGAGATTGTTAGACTGTCTTGATGTGAGTGAACATAAGATGATGTCAGAAGTCCTATATCAAATAAAGATGTGCTTAATAATTAATATATAATAAAAAAAAACCTATAAACTTAAGCATTAAAGTTTTAAATTAAGATATGGCGTCTTTTTATTAATCTTACATGTCTCTTCTCTTCTTCCATTCCCGGACAATCGCCTCTCATTTCTAACACATAAGAATAAGAGTTGAGAGCCATTGTAATTAACATTCCGAGGTCCTTATTTTTTATAATTCCAATATATTTAAAATTTAAAAATCGTGAATAAAAATTCTTAAATAGAAAATTATTATTCAATCATCCTTTCTGTTTCATTAATTTTTATTTGAATTTTTTTTTCTTTTTTTCCCTCCCAATTTCTCCAGACACGCACATATATATAACCCGTGTGGTAATAGAAGATTTTTTTTACTTAATTTAAAAAAAAATAAATAAGTACATCAACCTGATGTGAATATGAGTGCCGTCGCCCGAAAACAGAGCGCAACAAGTAGTTGCTGAAAATAAATAGCAGATAATAAGAATTAGGTGAGTTAATTTTGTACATAAAAAAGCAATAAACCAAAAGAATCACGAAAGACGTTCAGAAAATGCAGCATTCTATTGGGCAAGATATTGTGCAGAAATTAAGCATGCAAAATTCACGTTTTCAAACATGACAGGTCAGCTATATTTACCAAACTTTGTTTTGTTTTTTACTTACTGATTTAATGACCGGTAATTTTGCTCTGACTTTGTTTTTCTGCTTTTATGAATTGTGTGTTATGTTGTATTCTATATTTTTTTGAGTTTTTTTTTTTGCTTCAACTATTAATGGCAATCGTGTTTTTTTAGTTATTAATAAAATTGGCTCTTTTTTGGCCAAAAAAATATGACAGGTAAGCTATATGTATCAAACTCAATTGCTCAACATTAGACTACAAAACTAGTAATAAATATAATAAATATGGTCGTGTTTACTTGGAGGAATAGAAAATAAAACCACCCAGACTTAGCTAGGTTTGCATAATTAATGAGTTGGGCGGGGACGGATGAAACTTGATTCTATGTTATAATAATACTGTGTTGAAAAAAGAAAGATAAACACATAATTCAGTCGGGTAACCACTTTATTTATTTGTTTATCTATTTCTCTGTGACTCAGTATTGTTCAATTAATTTTTTATCAACACTGTAGCATTAATTTTTAATTTTCATTAATACTTTTATCCACTTTATATTTTTATTAATATTATTTAATCGCTTCAATTTTTCATTCTTGTCTCAGCTTTATACTTGTTTCCCTACAGTTGTTAAAAATGCAACAAATAAGGAATTCTAACAAGTAAATATTAATAAATAAAATTATTGATTTAACAAGTTATATTCAATGTATTTATTAGAGTCCTTATCAGATATTAAACTATTTCAAAAATATTTCGGGAATATTCTTCCAGAAAAAGAAAATGCGCATGTATGCCAAATTAACAACAAAGGAGCATGTAAAGGGGGAAAAATGATACCAGAGCAGTATGTTTAAGGCTTTAAGCTTCACCTTTCCCTTCCACTTTCCTTAATATGATTTAGTATGTTTGGTTGTTATAAAAAGGAAAGAACATAGATTTTATTATTTTCCTGTTTCAATTATCAAGGAAAAATATATAATTTTAATAAAACAATAAATTAAAATAATATGTGTATGTGTATTTTTAATTAATCTTGTAATTATTACAAAAATAAACGTGAGAGATCAAATGAGTGCATTCATTAGAGGAAATAATTTATAATAATCATACAGATAATAAAGGGTAAGATGCAAGAATGCAAATCCAAAAGTGGCTCCTACATGAATAGGATTATAGGAAATTAGGAACATTCTATTACTTTGTTGATGGAATCAAAATCGCTATCGCGATGGAAAAAAACACTGTTGGAAATAGAACGATAGATCCAACGATTTCCTCAAAGTTACAATCATGAGCAGAGGAAGCCCACAAAAATATGATGAGTCACATTGTTTAATGCACATAAACCGCGCAGCGTCATGCAACTTTTTTTTTTTAAAAAAATTGACTAGATTATTATGCCCACAAAAATGTGATGCGAGTCATGTTATGTTGCTCATTGGACATGAACCGCACAACATCATGCATACACTTTTTATATTTTGTATCCAATTAATATTGATTTTTTTTATTTCTACTTAAAATTTACAACACTTGAAAATCTTTTTAAATCTGCCACTAGGCCGACTCTATCTTTGCAATCAACCCTTAACTAAAAAACTACCTAATTATCTCCAAAAAAAAAAAAACTAGCCACCTAATCATAGGTGATTCATGGCGCGTAATTACACACACACGCTCACTTTTTTTTGGTACAACATGCTCCTTATATTTTGTTCCCAAACCTTTTATGACAGTTGGGTCTAAATATATAAGTATAGAAGTCTTTTAAAAAATTATTGTGCATGACTTGCGCTTCGGGCAGGTATTTTACTTGTTAATGAACAAGGGATGAAAATGAAAAGATGTTTTTTGAAGCTACAAAATGGTTTACATTTTTGAACCAACAATGACTAATAAATTATGTCTTGCATTGTGAATCGGAGGGAGTGAAGTTTTCTGCATTTTGCTCATGTTTATTTGAATTGCATACTGTTTTCAAACATGTTTCTCCACTCCTTTGGTGCTCATCAATGAGCACATGGGTTGTTCAGATTTTTAATCAAAACATTCCAGATTTTAGGTATTTTTATTTTTTATTTATTATAAAAATTATAAAATGTTAATAAATATATTTTATCATCAATATAAACAATATAGATTTAATTTGCGTAGTTTAATTTAATATTAATTTTTTTATAATTTTTATAAATTGACTATCCAGATATATTTTTGAACCATTTGAATTTAATAATAAACCTTTTTAAAAAATTTTATTTTAGTAAATATAATATTAAAAATAAAAATAATCTTCAAATTGGTACTTCAAAAAATTAAGAAAAAGTTATAATTTAAAATTTTTAAATGCAAACTATTCAAAGTATATCTAAATAGTCAATTTATAAAAATTATAAAAAATTAATATTAAATTAAATTATTTAGATTAAATATGTATTACC